CACATTGGTTACAGAGTTCAAATACCTACAGTAGGTTTTTTGTGGGATGTTGTTTGGTTTTTTTTTTTACCCCTACACACTGGAGCCAGACATGGAAATTTTCAGTGTTGTCAGTTTCTGGTATGGTTTCCAGAAAGGTAAAGAGTTTGATCAGGATTTCTTAAATATACTTTCATTGAAATTACCATGAGACCATTTCGACTGGGGCTAGATATGATGGCAAACAGAAAAGAGAAGATAAGCGTATATATTAAGAATAAATTAATTTCTATATGTTACATATTTGTAATTTTCTGGCTAAATAGAATTTGGTCAGTCTTTCTAGTGGTGTTTTTGGTGGAAGAAACACTACCATTTAGACACTTTAGGTAAGTGGCTGTGCTTTTACTTAAGTAACTGATCAAAATATTGATATATTGCTGATTTAAATTTTAAAGTTTAGCCAAGCTGATCATGTAGAAATACCAAGGCCGCCTTTTCCAGGAGAATGGAAGCAATCTGCTTTGAGGTGTTTGAGAGAACTAGCAGCTCCTATACTATTGCCTGCTGTGATTTACAGATTTGTACATTTTACCTAGAAGTACAAGAAGCTAGATTTACTGATGCAGTGGTTTCTCATGCCTGTTTTTACGTTGCCTTAGGTGTAGTTGCTACCACCTTTAATCATCTGGCTTTCTTCTTCCAATGATTATTTGATTCTGATGCCTTCGTTCCTATTATGTCTTAATTTTTTATAAATCTTGAATTTTGTGTTAATTTTTTAAAATCTTCTGGTTTACAATTCTATTTTCCTTCTGTCCTTTAATCAGTAGAAGCTTACCTGTTTAAATGGAGGCACTCACTGACAGTTTCATGGTACCATCTCTAAATTGCCTATTTTTCTGAAAAAGTCCTTTTCTTTCCAGGACTTTGTGTCATGCTGTTTTAGGCAGTTTTCTGTAAATAGAAGGTAAAACGTTGAACTGTATTAACAGCATTGATGGAACCTTTTATTTAAGAGTTTAATTTCAGTCTCATCTAATCAGAACAACACACAGTCATGGATGTCTGAGGAACTTAGTAAAATACATAAGAACAGAATAAAAGGAGGATTGGCTTGCAGCACCCTGGTGTTCCTGCAGCCAGGTGATGAAGTGTCATATAACGAAGCTGGGATAAAAAAGCAATTTTGTTTGGGTTTTAATTAGTATTAGGTTCAGACTGTGCTATGTAGTGTGGATTTTGAATACCAGTCAATAATGATAGTATCTTGCAACGTCTTTTTATTGGTTTCTGAACAAAGAACAGGACTCATCTTCCACTGTCTCCTCTTGGGATTTTTTGATGTTTAAATTAGTGGTAAAATTGTATGTTGAAGTTACTTTTGAGGCCAACGCAGTATGCTAATCTGATATCCCAAAAACATGTGGAAGGCGAAAGCAATGGTCAGCTTTGGTTTAAGACCAAAGATAATTTAAGAATATTAGAGTAAATTTTATGTGATGAAAAAGATCTGATTGCCTGTCAATTTTATGTGGGTGTGTTAAAACCTTGACAACTAAGCATCATCCAGAAGTCCCAGGTGTGGGCATCTGGTTATGCAGAATTGCAGTTAATTTTTATGTGCAAAGTGGTTACTCAGAACTAACAATTGCAGTGATACCACTGTCACATAGGGGATATAATGAAAGTGTAATTTCATAAATGAGTACATCTCTGAGGGATTATTAAGTATAGACCTTAATGACTGCAGAGATGGCAGAAGTGCTTTATAATGGATATAAATGTCAAGAGTCCTATTCAATACAGTTCAGGTGAAAAGAAACTATCCCTGATATTTTGTGTGGGGTTTTTTTTAAGTTTTTTGTTAGACTCCCTGGGCTTTTTATTAGAAGAAATTAAAAAGACAAAGCAGCATCATTCAGAAAATGACGTAATGGATAAAAATGTGGTTTCCTTAGGCTGTAAGGACTTCATTAAATGTTCAGAATATCTCTTGGTTAGCTGTTCAGGCAAATATGAAACCCTCCAGATGACCTCAGATAGTTAAAAAAAATCAGTATAAGGTATCATGCACATAAAGTGGTAGTATCCTTGAATCAGTACCCCTGAAGTATATCCCTCAATCAGGTACCTCAAAAGAAAAAATGCATGCATAATACAACATAAATTGAAGAACTGAGCCTCGTGGGAGTCTCCAAGCATTTGAATTGGATTGGAAGAAAACCCCCACAAAATAATAAAGTGGGAGTCATTTTCTGATCTACTCCAGAATCCTAAAGTCTGCTTCGGTTTACCATCAGAGATAGAGAAGAAAAGCTTTTAAGTCAGCCAGCATCAGATTGATTCATAAAGCAAACAGGAAAAGTATTACGAGGCAAGGCTTCGTGCTATGATAGACATCTAGGAATACTCATCTTTGGCAGTCTATTCATCTTTGGCTAAGGGGGTGGAAACTCTGGTTTGTCTCCCTGGGTAGTGTGTGGAATCCTGCTTACGTTCCAACTCAGTTTATGTGGCCTTGGGGAGCAAAGTCTGGTCTTAGAATTAGCTGTAATTTTTGCTGATCAGATAGGGGTATGACTGGCCGACTGTTTTTCCATTACTTTTGTAGGGGAACTATATGGCAAATCTACAACATGCTTTCATTTTTTTAAAACATTTGTGTAGTGAAGGTGTTTCATCTGATACAAATAGCTAGTGGTGATTGAGAGATTCCTTGTGCAGGTGGTTTGCAAAGATTTCTTTCTTTTTATAATGTGGAGAATTAGTTGTATATAAAAAAAACAAGGAAAAAGGACAATTCGGATATACTTTTTCAGAAATGCCCAGTGCAAAATTAGAAGTTCATTGTTGTCACGTTAGAAGTAGTTTAAATATACATACATATATCTGCAATATATTTAATGTAATAAAAAAGCATGCAGACCTACTTAACTTTAGGTGTGCATTCAGACACTTGCACCTAGTCTGACTCTTGCACGCAGTGCTGTGGTTTATCAAGATATCAATAGGCTATTTCAGGTCAGAATCTAATTTAACAGTTTATCGAACCGTGATGTTTTTTTGCATCCCTTCTATGGAAGCAGGCAAGACAGAGGATATTCAACTCTCTCTTCTTTATATTGCCAGGCTTCCCAAGAGCTTCAGTCATTAAGATATCATTGTTAGCTGTGGTACATCTAGAGAATGAAAAACTGCCCATGCTCCTAGATGGTTGCAGGCTAAGATCATGAACAGAGGAGTCTGAAAAATGAGATCAAATTGGTATGATTTAAATGGTTTTCATTTACCATCCATTTGACTGCAACTTGGCTGCTTAACTGGAGCCCTGCAGATCATAAGTATTGATCTGTTTCTGTATACATAACATTTTCTGTCACCTCTGGACAGCTTCTTTTGTTTTAACCAAAAAGGCATGTCACACCTGACAATTTCAGGATGAGTGTCTTGAATATTATGTCCTGTCATATACTACATTTTGAGTTAAGTAATCTATATTCAGTTAAATGGAGCACACACAACTAACTTGTCTCTTTCAGTTATTTTAATATATTAGGCCACGCAATTTTTGGAATGTATTTTGTAAAGATGTTTATTATCAGTAGACTTCTACTACTTAGTCTTTAAAGAGTGGTCGTTTCTCAAAGTCATTGATAAATAATATGCTTGTTGCTAAACAGAACAAGAAACTGACTAATAGTTCGTGTTACAAAAAATTATGACTTTTAAGCTTGTGGGTTATAAGGTAGCGAAACCTAGAAATGTGCTAGGATAGGCTGAGGGGGGGCAGGATAACAAATGTTGATTATGTTTTGGATTGTTAGTCTATCAATTGATTGTCAACTTGTACATTGCTTGCTTTGCTTAAGAAAACGGGATTTGAGAGATGGAAATAATCAGGACCCACAGTGTTATGAGTTTTTGATAATTTCCTCTCTCAATTTATGAGGATGAGCTGGGAGAGGCATAATTTGAAAGACACAACAGCTCAGGTTCTGGAGTCAGCTGATGTCTATGTGGTGAATGAAACTAACTTCTCAGCCTACCAGGCATAAATGTATTTTTCATGGTTGTAAAGCTACTTCAAGTGTGTATGTGGAGCACTGGGGTAGAAAGAAGAAGGAGAGAAAACCATCTACCATGGCAGTCCTGTCCTTGGAGAGAAAAGGACTCTAAAGGACTAGAAACAGGACTAAATCTGTCCTGCTTTAGTTTTGTTTTCTAATAAGCCGCTCAGACTGTTTGTGGGAGGGGTATAAGCATCACCGAATTCTTAAATGATGATTTTTCATTACAGCTTTACGTTGTTCTAGGTAGATATGTAAGTTTTTTGAGATATCTCATTCCAAGATAGATCTCCTGTGTTTTATAAGAGACTGAGTGCTGCTGTCTTCAAATTCTTTTTTTATAAAGACAGGTAGACATTAATTCTATTAACTGTATGTCTTAACTGATGCAATCTATTTTTCTTTTACCTGTGGATTAAGATGCATAAAAATAGTACGAAAATGTGAAAATTGAAATGTAATTGCTACCGTAGAGGGTGCTGCATCAACCCACTATGTAATTATTATCCTTAAAATGTCAAATTTAAATATAATGTCTTTAAATTGCTTATTTCAGACATTAGAAGAAAAACTAAGAAAAAACTACAGTAAAAGATTTTTAAATTACTTAACAGCGTTTGAATTACTGAAACAACTGAATTAAGTTTTGATGTTTAGGCAGAAACAGCAGCTTTGTATTTGGACTAAGAAATTACTTGCTGGCTTTGTCACCGTTGGTGTTAATTATTGATGGGGTTTCAGAAACAGCGCATGTGCTGTCAGAGTTGACTGTAACACAAGATAGGGACTGCGGTGATGCTGGAAGGGTTATAGAGAGGGAAGCACCTGTAGCATTTGGAGTTACATGCTTCTAATCATCAGACTTTTATTTTGTTGTGATAAATTCATACAAGTGTTTAAAATAATGGAAAGATGAGTCGTCAGGCTTATTTCTATCGTGTCCCTCCACAGGAATTACATAGAAGAACCCAACTTCAGCCTGAGCCAGCAAAGACGAAGGCTCTTCAAACAGTTATTGAAATGAAGGTATGGTCTTTGCTTGTTTTCCCATACGTTATTTTTGTAGCATGAACTCATGTACTGGGATGGAGCTAATTTTCTGCATAGCAGCCTGCATGGTGCTGTGTTTTGAATTTGGGACCAAAACAGTGTTGATAACACGCTCATGTTTTAGCTGTTGCTGAACGTTGCTTACACAGAGTCAAAGGTTTCTCAGTTTCTCACTGTGCTCTCTGCCCCAGCAAGTAGGTTGGGAATGGACAAGAGGCTGGGAGGGAACGCAGCTGGAACAGCTGACCTGAATTGACCAAAGGCATGTCCTATATTGTAGAATGTCGTGCTCAGCAATAAAACTGAGGGGGCAACATTCAAAGTTAGGCATTTGTCTGCCTGAGTAACTGTTATGCATGATGAAGCCCTGCTTTCCTGGAAGTGGCGAAGAACCTGCCTGCTGATGGGAGGTAGTGAGAGAATTCTGTAATTTCCTTTGCTTGCGTGTGCAGCTTTGCTTTTAAGTATTAAACTGGTTTTATCTTGACCCATGAGTTTTCTCACTTTTGCTCTTCTAATTCTCCCCCCTGTAATGCTGAGGGGGAGTGAATGAGCAGCTGTGTGACACTTAGCTGCCCATCAAGGTTAACCCACACCACCTCGATTTGTAACTTTTACTATTAGATCATTAAATGTTCCTTTTACATCTCAATTTTGTTGTGAAGCTATGAATAATTAGTATTTCTTTCTTCCAGTCTGTTTTTTTAATAAAACTTGATTTAAAAAGTGCAGCATTGCTGAATGATGAGAACTGAATATTGCTTTTTAAAAAGACTCGGAGTGTGTGTGTGGAGTTTCAGTTGAGCCAAAGTAGATGGAATAAACTGATAAACAGAAGCAAGCACAAGCTGTCTAAGACTGATGTAAAATGTTTTTCTTCTTGATCTTCAAAAACAGTACTTCTGTTGGTGGTTATTTGGCCATCATTTGACATCTAGCCTAAGGAAAATATTCATTGCATCAGCAAAGTGTTATGATAGATGTGACGAAACTTCTGTCTTAGTGCTGAATATAGTTTCCTCTTTTTGACATATAATATTACTCAAGTGTTGTGGCTTTTCCCCCCACAATAACAAAAGATAAAAATAATAATTTAAAAAGAGCAAACCTGATATTTTCTGTGAGTCTGGAATGTACATCTTTAAGAAAAATACCATGAGACCTGGGGTAATTTGTGAGTTGGCAATGCTGCCTGAAATACACTAATGATGGTCTTTCATTTCAGTCTTAAAAGGAAGTGCAAATTAAAGACCTCATTTTGCCAGTGACTTCTGTTATGAGCAAATGAGTTCAGCATGTCTGAACATTGTGGTAAATACACAGTTACAAGAACAGCAGGACTTCATATCTGCCTTTTAATAGATAATAATTAGTTTAGATTATATGAGTAACAAGAAAGGTACATCGATTTCAGTATTCCATCTTCTGATATGTATTTCCTTGGACCTTCCCTGTTCATTCTAGTTCAGAAGTCTATATATGAAATCTAAAACGTGTGTTTTCTGCAGTGACTTCTTATCCTAAGTATATGGGGAAAGTAAGATACTGGCTGAGAAACATGTTTCTTTCTATTGATAACCAGAATTATAAATTTAAAAGCTTTGGGATACAGAGATAGTGTGTTAGAATAATTTGTGGTCTTCCATGTGGGTTATTAACAATGTAAAGTTTGTGTTGCAAAACAATTTGCAATTCCTCTTCCTGGACCAAAACTCTTTGAAAAGAACGGGGATGGGAGGAACACGGCACATGAATGACACGTGACGACTGTAGTTGCAGCCACTCTGACAGTGTCTGTCCCTGGAGACAGTAAAGTCTTTTCTGTTTGTCATCCAGGAGATGCTCCACTTTTTAAAAATCAGATCTTTGCAGTGAGGGCTTCCATTTGTCATGGGTGAGGCTGTGATTGTGTTGCTGGAGCATTCTATGCGGAGCTGCCTTTTGGCTCTGAGGCACACGGTTCTTTTCCTATGAACACACGCTCCTTTGGGGTTGCACTGTCTAAAATAGGCCTAATATTGAAAAGAGAAAGGGACAAATGTAAGATGTTAAAGTCCACATGATTAAACGACCGTTTTCGTTACAAGTTCCAGCTTTGGAATGTTTTCAAGTAAATCGTCTTAATCGAGACAGCATTTGTTTCGAAAAAAATGTGGAACACTTGTTTTGAATGATCAAGCGTTGAAGCAAGATTTTTGTGTTGAGGGCAGACGGAGGGAGAAGATTACCCTGCAATATGGCAGTCTGAGGCCACATACTGCCCCATGCAGAGGCTCCAAGCAGTATACATTTCTCTTTACCACATCCAACCCCTTCCACCCCCTTGCCACATTAGCTTTTGTCTGAGTCCCCTCCATGGCTTCCCCAGGCTCTGCCAGGAGGCAGCTTTCACTCCTTTGTAAATCCCTCTGTTCTTTCCTGTGGTTTTCTTCTGTCTCTTGCCACTGCTGAATGCTTTCTGTGTCTTTTCTCAGTCAGTCCTTCCTTTCATCTCATGAAGTATACCTGTTTCTCCTACCTATCATCTCATGTGATTTTTTTTTTTGGTCCTAAACAGCTTTTCTTCTGCACGTGCCTTTGCTGTCCTGTCATGCTATTCATTTCTATCTGAAAACTTCGCAAGTTGTTGCCTTTTCTTATAGCAGTTCTATTTTCTGCGTAACTGTTGTCTCCTTGACCAGTGTCTTATCTTCTGTATACTTTAAAAAAAAAAAAAAGGGCAAACAAAAAATTTAGAAAATTCACATCCTGTCTTGACTGTTTCTAGTGCTTTTTATTCCTTTTCAGTTACCTATTTTCTTTTCAGATGCATTGCACAGTCTTTCCTAACTTTCTGGTTTTGCTGCTTAGACACATTTGCTTCCACATGTCCCATGTCTTTTGCTTACTTTTCCCCCTTACATTCTTTACTCTCTGTTCCCTTGTCTGCAACAGACATTCTTCTCTAGAAGCCCTTCTTTCTTCTGGAAAGCAGAGTCACAGGACAGGAGAAAGGCAGGATGCTTCCTTTTTCCACATGCTCAAGCTTGTTTGTTTGTTTTTTGAAACTTGCTTAATCTCCTTGTAGACCTTGCTTTCAAGAGATTTCTTTTATTTTGTTCTCCCAGCCCTCCACAATGGTTTTCTCTGAGATTCATTCTCTAGAAAGCGTGGCATACGAGATGCTGTCTGTATTCCGGATTTAGTAAAGGGGCAGAAGTTTTGAAGTGCACATTTGCCCAAAACAGTGAGTTACGTCATGGAGCGCATGGTGTTCAGAGAAGAGCCACCAGGATGTTTAAATTTAAACTTACTGAAAAATGAAAGTCTTTAGAAGCTTAATTTTGTGTAGTTTAACAAGTTGGAAATGGCAGAGCAAAGAGGTTACAATCTGTAGATATCTACCTGAGATATTTTCGTTACAAAAAAGTCCTCTCCAGTAATGAAAATAAATATGTTGTGAAGTATAATGTGTGGAAGCTCGAGGTAGCAAATGCACACTAAGATATAGTATATATATTTAACAGCATTCGTGTAATTTCATGACTTGTTATACAGGAAGCCAGTCTAGTTTTATTGCAGTTGTTGCTTCTGATTTTGTGACTATGGATATATGTAATCAAACAGCATTTTTTTTCTTATGCCTGAATCTTTGTCTGTTTAAGCATAAAATAAAGCCGGTACACTGCCATCCTCTCCTTATATGGAGAGGATCATATGAAACACACTTTTAATTTCGTTCTTTCAATAAGAAGTACTCATGAGCACATGAATCAGGTCAAAACTTGCTCATCTCTTGTGAGGCCCCACCTAGGGTGCTGCATTCTTTTCTGGGGTCCCCAGTACAAGAAAGACATGGACTTGTTGGAGTGGGTCCAGATGAGGGGCATAAAAATGATGAGAGGGCTGGAACACCTCTCCTGTGAGGAAAGGGTGAGAGATTTGGGGTTGTTCAGCCTAGAGAAGAGAAGGTTCATTGGAGACCTTCTTGAGGCCTTTCAATAGTTAAAGGGAGCTTAAAAGAAGGATAGGAATAGACATTTTAGTAGGGCCTGTTGTGATAGGACAAGGGGTAATGGTTTTAAACTGAACGAGAGTGGATTTAGATTGGACATAAGGAAGAATTTTTTACATTGAGGGTGGTGAGGCACTGGAACAGTTTGCCCGGAGAAGTTGTGGATGCCACATCCCTGGAAGCGTTCAACATCAGGTTGGATGAGGCTTTGAGCAACACGATGTGGTGGAAGATGTCCCTGCCTGTGGCAGAAGGGTTGGACTAGATGATCTTTAAGGGTTGCTTCCAATCCAAACTGTTCTATGATTCTATGATCTTGTTCAGACAGTTCCAGGCTTAAACCAGTGATATCACTTGAGACAGAAAATCAGAAATAAATTGCCTACAGATATAAAGCTCATCTTAAGTGTTGAGTATTGACTATCCTGAAATATATATAGTCTAGCAACAAGAATTAAAAAGTCTTTAAAAATTTTAAGCTGTAGAGTAAATGAAAATATTCTTGATTTACCTTACTTGCAGAAAGAACCATCTTTATGTATTGATCCAGCTTTGATATTTCAGGTATGAGTTTGGTTCTAAAAAAGCGTGTATGTGTGTTTGCAGTGCAACATACTCTTATTGTTAAGATTGCATGAACCTTCACTTTCGCTTATCTTAAAAAAGAAAGAGTCTTGAATATTCTCTGTATTAAATGGACAAAGTTAAAAAAAGTGTACAGTAAGAGTAGTTGTGTATGGTCTGTTGATAGCATGTATGCATATGTGCATTTAAATGCAAATTTTACTAGATGTGAAGTTGCAAATATTTGCTTCTGATTGCTTGTTGAATGCCCTACAAGCAACGTTTTTCACAGACATAGTTTAAATTTATCAGGTATTTGAAATGATGAAGAGCAGCATTTCATTACTTTTTGTTTCAGAGAAAGACAGACTGGAATGCTGTATTATTTACAAATGTTCTGCCCTTTTTTCCCTGCTAGGTGTTCAGGAACTGTGCTATAGCACTCCTGGTGTAAGGACTGGATATATAAGATTTATGAAACATTATTGTGTAAACTCATTTGAAGTGTTAGTCTCCTTTCCGTTGTAGAATACTTTTTTCTTCAGCATCATGACACATACTAATTGTTTCGTGTTCCAAAAGAGATGGATTTCTGCTAGGTCCAGCATAGAAATAGCCCCAACCTCTCTCACAGAATACCTGCAACACTTTTCTAATAAAGGAGATGAGGAAGAAGTATTGGTTACTGCTGGAAGGAAGGGATAGATGAATAGATTAGGGTAAGTACCCTGACCTGTATCACAAATCCCACTATGGAATCTTATGTCTTCTAACAGATTTAGAGGGCCTGACAGGAAAAATCTGCACAAATGTTGCATTATTGTAGAACTCAGAAGATGTTTTTTAGTACCACTTAACACTAAGCTGATTCCTTAATATTACTGCAAAGGAATCTCCTTTGTGATTCAACATAGACCCACATAATTTTTTAGAATGCTGTTGGTGTGGATAAGTCTTAGAGGTTTGAAGGCAATACTGCATCTGTTCCTATTTCAGTTTCTGAAAGATTGCCAGACCCTGTGCCACAGCAAGAGCTGGCTGAAAATTTTCCATTTGAAGTTTTCTGTGGGAAAATGCCGATTCAGCTGAATCAGAAGATTTTTATGGGAATGTGCCTATTCTGTCAAAACTTTTAGTGAAAGCAAAGCTATCTAACTTTCTATCCATCCCATAGTCAACTCGTTTCCCTTGTAGCATTACCCCATGGGAACTCTAGGCTGTCTGTATTATCTTTGAGCTACAAAGTTCCTTGCTTTCTAGCAGTTGACCAGACAGGAGACCTTTTGGGTTTCCGGGGCACACCAGCAGCCTGTCTGGTGTATTTGCAGAATTGCCAGTCCAGTGGTGTTCATACAGAAGGGACCAGTACCTTGGACTCCTTGAACAGTCTGTGAACGAAGGTGATGTCTGGCTTCTCTTCTGTCTTGTCATCACTCATGTTTTTGATAAATTATTCTGAAACTGATTTTAGTCTTCAAAATCTGTGAAATTTCTGGCTTCTGTTCCAATAAAACATTAGTACAAAACTGAGAGTGATAATTTTACTAGAGATAGGAAAACTAATTTTTACACAGCTGTAATCACAGTATGCAGAGATTGTTTAAAAATAAACTTTTCCTTGAAGAGTTCAAACTTGTTGTGATAAAGTAGAACTATGGAAAATGCTTCTAAAAGTTGTGTTAGACGTTTCTCATAAAGCTTAAATGTTGTTCTGTGATGTATGAACCTTCTAAGGAGTGTAGCAGGCTGTGTTATAAATTATTTCTGCCACGTTATATTTGCAAACATGTAAAATACAAATGCAGTACAAAAAGCCAGACTCTTAAAGACTTAGCTGAAGAGATTTGATGAGGACTACTCCCAGATGAGATGTCCTAACAGGTCATGTAAGTATTATTATATTTCACTGCAAAATCATTCTAAAGTGCAGTGAAGCTTAGGTTCCGCTTTTATCTTCACTAATAGGAGTAGAAAATTTCTAAAATGAAGTCTGATGGAGCAAGCTGATTTGATTATAGTATCTGTGAGAGCTATAATAATTTATTGTTGTGCGTAAGCTGATAGTTTTAATTTTTTTTCTTTCAGTATTTTTCTTTTCATGCAATTTCTCTAAATGATAAGATTTCATGAGAATTCTTCCCTTTTTTTAATGCCATATCAACGTTTTTACTTTAACTTTTTTTTTAAAAAAAGAATGATGGAAAAATGTTTTGTGAACTGAACAGTTAACATCTTAAAAATGTTTATTTTATCACGTGAAGGGCTGATCATTTAATAGAAAGATTACCTGTTTTTTATGATCAATCATACAGCCTTTACTCTGTGATATGAGTAATGCTGATTCTATGGACAAATATTAATAAAGTTTTAGGATTCTGCTGTTGGAAATCTGTCATGTTATTAATGCTAGGCTAGTGCACTAAGTAATTTAAGTTGCTTTTTGCCTGTAACTTGAAAAGTTGTTATTCAAAAAAACAACTCCATAGCTACATTAGATATATGCATATAAACTAAAAGCTGGTTGGATGTCTTCCAAAATGGGAGAGAGGTGGTAGTGTGTGCATGTGGTGCTTTTTATTGTTGTGTGCGTGGTGGTTTTATTTTTTTTCCCCCCAAGTTGCATCCCTAGCCAGCTCTTTTGTGTTTTTTAATTGATTTTTTTTTTTGTAGAATACTCCTTCTCTTTGAACATACCCTTCAAGAAAGGGAAATGTGGATTGCTGATTAAGATTATCATCAGCATTTTCAGTATCAGATATTTTCCAGAAAAGAAACAGCTAGTGAAGTAAAAGATAAGAAACAGCAAGTTTCATATTCCAAGAAACATTTTTGGAATTCCAAGAAACATGTTTTCAATTTCTTAATAAATGTCTGCAAACAGTGCCTAAAGTAGATTTCCTAATGAATCATTTTGCAATGCTCTCTTAAACAGAAAATTATGTGAGAAGTTTGCTTTTTTAGTCTTTTGACTTTCACTGAAGACATTTTGTCAATTTCCAAATGACTGGCAATAGCCAAAAAAAAGATGACTGGATGTTTTCAGTGCTGTGCTGGCACACGTGGCAGCCATTGGCTGTGATGTAGTGGTTGTGGTTTTGTTTATTTTGGGACTCATAATAAAAAGTGTTAAATTCCCTCTTTGTGATGTGGCTGAATTAGTGGAGGAAAAGTATGTGAGGAGACAACCTTTCTTCCTCTCGGCAGCAGGCGGAACTCTAATTTTGAATTTACAGAATTTTGACCAGAATGTATTCTCTACAGACTATGCAAGAGTAGGTAGCATTGCACATGTTTTTCTGGTGGTGAAAGAGGTCTAAATTCTGCATTTCTTTAAGCCAATACCAATAGAATAACTCTTGGTTTATGATAGCATGTACAATCTGTATTTGTACCATCTATTTTTGCTATCTTATTATTTGATGTTCATGCAAGTACTTCTGTTAATGCTTTAATATATGTTTTGTATCATTTTCAATACTCTTTTTTATAACTTAGGATACAAAAATAGCTTCACTTGAGCGCAATATAAGAGATCTTGAAGATGAAATACAGATGTTAAAGACAAATGGAGTTCTGAATACAGAGGACCGAGAAGAAGAAATCAAACAAATAGAAGTTTACAAGAGTCACTCAAAGTTCATGAAAAATAAGGTAAGATCTATTAATAAAATAGCTTGATGCTGTTTAAATAGTGGAAACAGAAGTTTTAACTTGACCCTTTTCAACACAAGCAGCTCTCTGCATATCTTCTTTTGGAAAATCTCCACTATGCAACACTCAGTAGCTGTGGAGAAGTGAAGCATTTAAGATAAATAAAAATGTGTTTATGTTTTGACTTAGAGGTAAGGAAGAGGCTATTTCACTACTTCTACGGAGACTACAACAATCCTGAATCTATACTGTGATCCCTTTTCCCTTTCTTGTGTATGGTGTTTTGGAACAACTTTAATTGTGCATTTTTTTTCTGGTTTTGAGTGTAGTTTTGCAGTAAGAGCTGCTGTTCTGTGATGCCAAATTGTAATCTTCTAGTATTTTAAAGCCTTGCGATTTGGTGACTTTGTTCCTGCAGAGTCCCTTTCATTTCAAGTTATTGAACATAGATAATTGAATTGACCACAAGTAGATAGTAAATATGTAGTGATGTAACACATTTCCTGGTATCAAGCTCACAAAACAGTATTGCTTGTTCATTGTTTTAAAATACATCAGAAGTAAAGCTTGATGTCTAAACTGTTGTCCCAGCTGGTGTTTTTACCTCCTTTCATTTTGATGTGCTCAGCTGCTGTCTCTGTAAAGATGAGAACTCCAGATAGTCTTTCTTGTGAGTTCCAATATTTCTTCTCTGATATTTTTAGAATGGCCTTAAAAAGAGTAATAAATATTAATATTACAATTTTTGCGGGTTTATTCCCAGCTTTCTACCTTGAATGTGTTTTGTTTATGAAGTGATAAAATATGGAATTAAAGTACTTGATAAAAAGAAAAAAAAAGTTTGAAATTATGGAGATTGAAGCTAGTGCTTCCATTATGTGGAAGTCATTGTCTTCTGGAGAATCTGAGTTCTCTGATTTTCAGTTTTCTTGTGTAAATTAGACCTTTGTTATCTTCTTGACAAGATGCTTTTACTTCGTCTGATTTCAACAGTGAATATTGGAGTAAGAAGATTCACCACTGTGTAGTACTGGATACTGAAGATTTTCCATCTCAAGAGCTCTTTCTGTCTCCCAGTTTGAAACCTATAGTATCTTGTAAACTATGTCACAGGAAATGCTGGTGTCTTGGGACATTAGGGCATATTTTTATCTTCTTGTGGGTGTTTGTTCTGCAGAAGAAATGGAAGCGTTAGTCCCCATGTGGAATTAATCCAGATTTATTAAAAAACTAAAAAAAAAAAATCAAAGAATATATTTATTCTCTTGAAAAAAGTGTCTTTTAAGCTATGAAAAGTAGCTAAAATTCCTAATATGCCTATTTAAACATCATTAATTTCAAAGCAATTCAGTTTTAGTAATTTACAGCAAAACCCCTAATGTGTCTCAGCATATCTGTTGATACAAAAATAATGTACAAAGTTAAGTATTTTGTTAACAATCTTCTGATATTTTTGAGAGGAACAGCTTCAGTATATTTTTGTGACACCGAAAGCAGATGAATGAGAAGACTATTAAACATACCCTGTTTGGTCACAATCTTCTGATCTTTGATAGTGCCACATTCTGATGAAATTTTGTCTGTTTTCTTTCACCAGTCCTTTTCTTCCACTTAAAATTGAGACTTGCAGCAGAAGATACTATTTTTATCATTCGTCTGAGAACCTTTCAAGGTGGAAAGTATTTATGTAGCTGTCAGCAAACAGATCTTATTATACCTGATCTATTGAAACTGAGATTGTTGATAAACTCTGATAGTCTTGATTGATGGCAAAGAGCAAAACAAAACTCTCCTCACAGCTAGCAGTCTTAGATGCTATAAAGCTCTTAATACTTCACGTTTATTTCAGAAGTATAACTTGGTTTAAATTTGTTCTTGATTTAAATAAATGGGAAGGTGTTAAATGGAGGCCGATGCTGAATACACTTGATTATACATAATGGCAGGGAATGTTGAGAAGTGTTCCTTTTCCTAACTAATTCTTAGTAATATTCACTCATTTCAAATACATAGGCTTTAATTTTGACTTTCAGTTAAATAGAAGTTGTAGAAATAAGAAAGAAAACTTGCTTAGATTTTTTTGTTTTGTTTCCTTGCCCACTTGAGTAGGGCTCTCCTTGCTCTGTTTTCACGACTAAGGGATGTGGAGCTTCAAATACCTTCATTAAGGATATGAAGAAAACATAGGATGATATGCTTTTTAAAAAATAAGTTCTGCTTTGCAAGACTCTTACTAAGGTTTGTCCTTTGGCTAGCAGTTGGATATTTAAAGTAACAGTGGTCATTTTTTCAGGTGTCAGTTTGTACTCTGGAATTTAAGTAATTCTTTGAGTATTAGGATTCTCATACTATTGACAGGAGTGAGTAAGGAAACCTAGAGATAGTTTAGTACAGCTTCAGTAAATTGCTGTTAAGATGAGTTTTAAGAATTGATTAGGCTGTAGCAAGGAGCTCTGTGATTAGTGTCTAAGAACTTTTCACACTGCATGAAGGAAGCATGCAAGTTCTAGGTGGTCCTGTAGAAGAAATATACAGGAAAAGAACTACGGCGTTTTTCTGTGGCTTGGCCTGGAATTGTGGTAAACACTTTAAAAATAGACCTTGAGCAATAACCCATAGAGTCTACAGATGGGCTTATAGATTCTACTGTGTGCAGGCACTTTATTTGCATTGTTACTGTTTTTCCTTTGCGTAAATCCTTCACTTAAAAAAGGTATTGTCCTTCCTCACATAAGACCAGATCTTTGTGATGTGTAAATCAGCAGTTTTGTTTAATGGAATTATCTACATGAAGATTTAGGCAATTAATTTTAGTATGCAGTATTTAGAGGGAAAGTTCAGATTGTTTGGTCTGTCTTGTTTTCTTTCTTTCCCAGTTACTCTATGTAATGTCATGTAAGATTTTGGGAGTTCTCACACATTTTTAAACTCCTGGCAATTTATAGGTCTTGTAGCCAGAACTTTATACTAAACAGATTCTGTTTCTACAACACACAAAAAAAACCTGCAATGAAAATGAAGCTTGCTTTTTGTTTTGTTTTATTTTATTTTATTTTTAAAATTCGATTATTTCTCAGAGTCCAGGTTGTTTCATGGAAAAAAGCAGGAAGAGTTTCTAGGAGAGATTAAGCATCTGTGATATTCACATGTGTCTCGTATAAAGCATGTGATGTAATTCAGATTGGCTGCAGATCTACTTTTTGTCTTTATATCTTGTAGACAGATTTACCCATTGTTCATTTTTGTCTCAGTTGCCATACTTGCTTACGTGTTCTGGCAAGGGATGGAGGAAGGTGCTTTACTGTCAAAAGAAAGTTTTCTCTAGGAGTTTCTTAACTCTGCTCCTTATGTTTTGTTGACATCTGTTTTTTTTTGTACACTCCTTTTTAATTTTTTTTTTTTTTATTTTGATGTCTTCAAACTGTTAAGGTGATTGCTTTTAGTGCCAGTATAGATTCTTGATTTTATACAGTAGCTCAGGCATGGCTAGCCAAGTACCTTAACCAGCTAGACAAACATACTGAGATTTATAAACATAAATAAAGACTAAATGTTTTACAATATGCATATGGACTATAGTTGGAAGAAACACTTTTTAAATTTAATTTTTAAGGATACACTTGCAATGTAAAACAAAATAGAAATATTTTCATCAGCAGTAAGTATTTTCAGTGACTGTGCCATACAATATTGAATCTGTGAGATATTTTAGTACGTGAATTTTTAGGATGTGGTTGAGTAGGATCAGCCTATGGATACATATTCTATTTTTCCTGAGGATTTTCAAATCACCTTCTAGTTGACAATCTAGCCCTTCTAGTTTTCTTGCATCCTAAATGTCTGTTGGGATGCAACTCAGGGGAGAGAACGGAAAGAGCTCTTCTAGCACTTTTCTGGTTGTTGCAGAACTGAAACTTGAATTTTAAAGGAAAATATCTAAGCCTTACAGTCATCAAGAATGCTTTCCAAATATAATGGAAGTGCGGTTTCTCTGAGTTATGCAGATGGACTGAGGTGTTTTATTTCAAATAATCCTCATGAAGTGATGTTTTTGAACTCATCTAGTGACCAGTGTTATTCCACAGGACTTTAAGAAGAATAGCTATATGTTACCTAATTCACCATCCTTAAGCATCATTGTGTGTATTGTCCAGTGCTTTGTTCAGATTCATATATTCTAAATCCACCACACTTTTACGTTATGTGGCTATCCCACCCATTTATCATTGTGGAAAAGGAAGAATAATCACAATTCCATGGCATGTACTGATGAACCTTAAATTCACTTAAATTCAGAAGCTCCGTCTTAGCAACTGGGTTTCTGCTGTTTCCCCTAGGATACGCTTTTACAGTCTCACAAAGCTTTCACTCTGTGGAGGTTTTTTTTATAATGTTTTTCCCAGACTTCGTTTAGGTTAATCTCTTTGGCTTGACTTTCCTAGTACCTGAGAATTCCGTATGATCTGCCAGGGATGAAAAAAGGAGGTGATGATGGTGGGCAGCAACACGTTTGCAAGAAGAGTAAGGTTAAAATTCCTCTTCTGTTTTCCTCTCCTTACTGAGATGCTTGCTTTGCCTTATCAGGCTCCTAAAAAAACCTTGATTCACTCTGACCAATGATCAATCACAAGAACCATGCTGTTGGAAGGAGCAGGGTATTGTCTTGAATTTATACTTTTATGAACACTTTTTTCCTATGGGTTTTTGCTCTCCTGCCAGACTTGCCTCACATAGGATAAATTCCTTTGAACTTTAGTGAGGTCCATGGTGAATTTATAGGCCAAATCATCATGTATGATCTTGAGGAGTTTCCTTTTAACTTCTGTAACAGCAGGGTAATCATTCTTAAGACAGGGTACAGGTACAGGTTAAATTATAAGAAACTCAGTTGGACTTGTGGATGTAGAAAGTCCAAATCTTAGTTCTCTTCCAGAATTTACAGGTGTCTGAGTTGTCATATCATGGTTGTTCACACCTTTCAGATTTCAAGTGCAACCATGAATTGGAAATGAGATTAATGATCTAACCTTTTTTTTCCCCCCCTGTTACAGATTGACCAACTGAAACAAGAACTCTCCAAGAAAGAATCAGAACTTCTTGCCTTACAAACTAAGCTTGAAACTCTTAGCAATCAGAATTCAGATTGCAAGCAACACATTGAAGTGCTTAAAGAGTCACTTACTGCCAAAGAACAGAGAGCTGCCATACTTCAGACAGAGGTATTGTCTCTTCTAATCATAAAATACAATAGAAATATTTAGTTAATAGCATGTGTCAAGGTGATGATATGTTTGCCGCAAGTCTGTGTAGAAGGCAATTTGTTAAAGAATAGTGAAATAATTTAAAACCCTTTAAATGCCAATATAGTTGGTATATATTTTTTTGGTAGTACACCAGCTGTCATTCTAGAATTTTTTTAGAAGCATCTATGATTGCATTTTAATAAAATGTTTGTGCCTAATCCTCCTTGGCTTCAATTGGGAAGCTGGGTCTTAATGACTTGATTGTTGTGATTTCATTCCTCCTTTCTTCATCTCTTAGTTGACTGAGTTTTCCTTTTGGTTGCTTTAATCCTTCTTTTCTACTGTGTTTTTCTGTTCCGAAGAGTGAAGCTACTGGTGTATATTGAAGGGATCTGTTGAAGGATGCGTGATATTAATATGTGGTTATTGTTTTGAGTGCAATCAACATTTATTTCAAAATGTGAATAACTTCAGTCTTTAAAACAGGCCAGTGCATTAGTTATGTATATATCTACAAAGTCAGATCATAAAAACAGGGTAGTGAAATACATGGTTGATATGGTTGTCACATTTGATGGAATGTTTAAATCCAGTGTTAAAAATGTTGTCCATTAGTTAATTTCCTGGGGTTTTAAAAAGCTTCATAGACTTGAAGCACAAAATACTGATTAGTTTGATTCCTATTATGACTTTTTGATTTTATTTTTTATGTGTGTACCCCTTTCAAAAAACAGAAATACTGTGAAATTCAGTCATACAGTGCAAATAGTTTCTATTTAGAGAAGTACATTGTTTAAGGTGTACAGAAATCTTACAGAATGTTTCAGATTTCTGGCTAACAAAGCTCTAGGAGATAAAAACAGCTTAATCTTGTCATTCTCATGGAAGCAGGAAATAAATATTTTTAGGATTCTGGTTATCCCTCTGTGTTGTATGTCTTATCCTCTGTACATTAAGAAGATACAGATGAAATCTTGGAATTTCTAGCTTGTGTTTAATGGGCCATCCAGCATATGTATATAATACAAAATAATTATAATAGAACAAGAGTAAAAACTCCAGCAATTTTGGCAGATATCAGTCTAGCTTTTCCGTAGCAAAGATGGCATATTTTAAATCTCCAGCTTTGCAAATCTGTTTTGCAAGGTTTGTATTACCTCTCGTGCTGCTGAGAATGGTGATGAATTCCATTGGCTCTCGGCTAATTTGATTTCCTAATTCTTTATCAGACCAGTATGTATTCAAGGCATTAGTCTTATGGCTGGCAGATGGGCAGTGGTAAAGAGAACTGAATCTACAGTGCTCTTGATGAAGGGCTGCTGGGATTGTGCAGTCCCGGTGGAGAACAAGTTGGTTTCTGACAGGTATTAAATTCCTCCTCTTGCCAGTTTCTACATAAGGCAATTGAGCTTGAACCTTTTACATGAAGCAACTTATGTTAAAATTAGCTGTAATTGCCTGTTGGTGTGCAGGTGACAATCAGCTGTATTGTGTCTGCTTATAGTTAATCTCTCAGGGAAACCAAATGAAAAATCAATGTTAAAATGATCAGAGAGGTAGCTGGATAGAAGGAATGTTCTATAATGTTTGCTTGCTTAGAAAGGCTGAATCTTCTATCTTCAGGACTCAGGTCTTATCTAAAAGGAGGGCAATGGCTTCCAGCAGCAGATGGGAAAGCAGCTGCAGGGAGATGCAGGGCAAATGGCAGCCCTCCAGCAGAAAGATTATGGAAAGAATTTTGCACTGTACAAGCTATTGTTGGTTGTTCCCAGATGAGTAAATTAATAACATTTTGGCCTGCATTAAGCCGCACTCTCTTTTTCCTGCATGCCCGCATTGTCTATTTGTAGAATAGATAGTTTTTGTTAATTATACAAAATTAATTTTATGCTGTCCAAAGACATGCTCATAGCCTGCCTTGAAGGTGGTCTTTTCTGGACATGAAAGTAACCATCAAAGGCCAGTTCTAATACTGAACTGACTAAGGTATTGGTAGTTGCAGTGTCAACTTCTTGCCTAACTAGGATTACTTTGTAATCACCTTGTTGTAGATCAATGAGCTTAGTAAATCCTGTAATAAAAGAAATCCTCAATAGGAACTCAATTACTTCATAACGAGCCTTTTATTAATACTTAGTTTAAGAATGGTACTCTGCAGGTTGTCTTCAGGTTTTGGAGACAGCAGCTTCCTATGATGCAACAGGATGTGATTCATAGAATCACATAATGGTTGAGGTTGGAAGGGACCTCTGGAGGTCATTGGAGGTCAACTAGTCCAACCCTCCTGCTCAAGCAGGGCCACCTAGAGCTGGTTGTCCAGGACCATGCCCAGATGGCTTTTGAATATCTTCAAGGATAGAGACTTCACAACCTCTCTGGGCAACACGTGCCAGTGCTCAGTCAGTCACAGTAATGTTTGCTGATATTCAGAGGGAACCTGCTGTGTTTCATTTTATGCCCATTGCCTCTCTCCTGTCACTGGGCACCACCAAAAAGCCTGGCTCCATCTTCTTTACAGCCTCCCTTCAGATATTTATAGTGATAAGATGCCCCTTGCTCTTTTCTAGACTAAACAGTCCGAACTCTCTCAGGCTTTTCTCAAATGAGAGATGCTCTGATTCTTTAATAAAGCCCTTAATTGCTTTGTGGCCCTTCACTGGACTCTCTGCAGTATGTCCATGTCTGTCTTGTACTGAGGAGCCCAGAACTAGACACAATACCACAGGTGTGGCCTGACCAGTGGTGAATAGAGAGGGATCACCTCCCTCAACCTGCTGGCAGCACCTCTCCTAATGCAGCCCAGGATGCTCTTTGCCTTTCTGCCACAAGGGCACATTGCTAGTGTTCAACATGGTGCCCACCAGGACCATGAGGTCCTTTTCTGCAAAACTGCTTTCCAGCTGGGTGAACTCCAGCATATACAGGTGCATGGAGTTGTTCCTCTCCAGGTGCAGGAGTTTACATTTCCTTTCCTTGAACTTCATGAGGTTCCTGTCAGCCCATTTCTCCAGCTTATCGAGGTCCCTCTGAAGAGCAGCATTGCCCTCTGGTGCACCAGCTGCTCTTCCTGGTTTTGTACCATCAGCAAACATGCTGAGGTTACACACTGCCTTATCATCCAGATCATTAGCAAAGATGCTGGAAGAGGACTGGATGTAATATTGACCCCTGGGGTACTATAATGGTTCTACTTGAGTCCTCTGATCCTACTTGATACTCCACCTCCCTCCATGGTTCTTGCAAGCCACGTCTAATAGGACATGAGGCTTAGAAGTAATCATTTGGTAATAATGATCTGGATTTTTTGATGAGTATAGTTAATTTCCTTCAAACAGTGGTAATTTGGGTCAGATTTCAGGTACAATGGCACTTTGTCACATGATGTGAGAGAATTTAAAACCAACAGTAAATAAGTCTAGATCTAAACACGATGTGCTTTTTGCACAGTGTTTCTGTTGTCTGAGTGATGTCAGTGTTTTGTTTTGTTTTTTTTTATAGGTTTATTTGACTTAAAACGCTATCATGTGAAGTTTTTGTTGACAGCTGAAACAAAAAGATATAATCCTGTAAAGCAATAACTATCATGGTGGCCAGAGTTGGGAGGTCTGAAATGGTTTATTGCCAGTAGGAAAAATGTTTGGAACCAGTCCTTAGAAGGTTCACCACCTCTGCTATGTGCATTTCATTTTGTTCCATTTTTAAGGGTATATATGATAATAGTGCCAAACTATGCAAACTTTTCCTACCCTAATATATATAGCCTCTGTTTTGATTATCTCATTATTAATGATGTGAAAACTCTGAGGTTAGATAAAAACGAGCCAAGGTCAGGCTACTCCAGCTACAGAACACTGAAAATGTCACTGCACTCTGTAGAGAATTATTAAAAGGAAGAATATTAGACTTGCTGAGATTTTCCTTGCTGTTGTGAAAAAGTTATTGATGTTAGTTTTTAAATGAAGCCTTGTACTGTTGCTGCAGAGGGGAAGAGGTTAAACAGCATGAATGGGCCTTTTTGATGATTTAAAAAGATGAGACACTACCATTTGTATTCTTTAAAAAGTGGTAGACGGTACAGTTTGAGATGTATTTGCACATATTTGCAGTGACTGGCACTTTAATGCTCTTACCATCAGGAAAAAAACTTACATAAATTGATGCAAATAAATTCATTACAGCTGAGTCACTCAGTGGAGAAAAACATTTCATAAGCAATTCTGACAGAAACATACTTAGCACTTTATTAGCTAGGGTATCATTGCTTTAGATAACACACTGGCAAACTGGCACGCGTGCTGTTTGAAGGTTAATGAACTGCAAAATAAGTAAATGTCTACAAAAATTTTGTAAATTGTGAGCATAGTCCTGTCAGTGGAGAAAATGGATTAGGAAAATAGGTGAAGTCTGTACTGCAACTGAATACTGATGTGTTCAGCATGCATGTATTAATATAGAAAACCTAATAAAACTGAAGAGGAAAGGTGATTATAGTAGATATTTATGACAATCTGTTTTTTCTTTTAAACAAATCTGTTTATAGAGAAGGACTGTGAAATGATTGACTTCTTGGCAGTTCTTCGTTTACATAAAGAGCAAATAAAAGCAGACAGCACAAAATACTTGGAACAAAGCTACAAACACTTTGTTTTTCTTTCTAGTACAATGTTGATATTGCTTGAAATGTAAACCTGTTTTTAATTTTACAGTAATAATGGTATAACTACAGTTATTTCACTCTCACATTTTTATTTTTCTAAGTTAGAGTTTTACTTTGAAATGGTATTATTCTATTGTTTTGTGGTTTTTCTTGTTTCAAATCAGGCTGGGCCAGATATTTCACTGTGGTCTCTCTGCAGTACTGCCAGTGTGTTGTTCTGGTCGATGTGCCGTATGTGCAAAGGAAAGACCACTCACTGTGAAAAGCACTGTTCTGGAGGCTTGTGTACCGTTTACTCTCTCTGTCACTCTGCAGCTGT